CTTCGGGCTCTTCCCCGTCAGTCGCGCATCTTGTCCCGATTCTCTTCCACCGAGACGACTGGCCAGACCCCAGTACAGACTATCGTTGCAGAGCAAGCACCTCAATTAGAGACCCCTGCACCGGCTGTTGCGGTGCCGGAGCCTGGTACATCTGGTGCACAAGAGAAATTGGATCCGAACACGCTCCGCAGTAAGTACCGCAACATCATGGCCGTGAGGCCTGCCGCTGTCTGAAGGGAAAGCTAACATACCCTCTTCTTTCCAGGGATCAAATTCCACAGTCTCGGTAGCGATGTGACCGGCGTCTACCGGCCAGAGAGCCTCCTCAAAAACCCTCCCAAAGCCACCGACGTTACCCTCGAAATGCTCCTCGCCAACCAGACACACCTTGGACACTCGACTTCCCGCTGGAACCCCCAGAACTCGCGCTATATCTTCGGTATCAGGGAGGGAACTCACATCATCTCTCTTGACATCACGGCGGCTTACCTCCGACGTGCGGCCAAGATCGTGGAGGAAGTTGCCTTCCGGGGTGGATTAGTTCTCTTTGCAGGCACGCGAAAGGGTCAGAAGCGTGCGGTGGTCAGAGCCGCGGAACTGGCTCAGGGATATCACATTTTCGAGCGTTGGATCCCTGGTAGCTTGACCAATGGCCAGCAGATCTTGGGCCATTGCGACAAGAAGATCGTGAACGGCTTGGATGAGACGATTGAGGACCTCTGGAAAGAGGAATTGGAAGGTTACCGTGCACTTAAGCCCGACCTTGTTGTTTGCTTGAACCCCGTCGAGAACGTTGTCCTGTTGCACGAGTGTGGTCTCAACAACGTCCCGACTATCGGTATCATCGACACTGACGCCGACCCGACTCGTGTCACATACCCCATCCCTGCCAACGACGACAGTTTGCGTTCCGTGACTCTGATTGCTGGTGTGCTGGGACGGGCAGGAGAAGCGGGTCAGCAGAGAAGATTGGCGCTAGCGCGCAAGGGTGAGTGGACGTATAAACTCATGCAACCACTCCGTCAACAAGTAGAGGAGACGACTCTGGAGACTGGGGAAGGACAGACGCCTGAAGCCTCTCAGGAGGTTGTGTCTGAGGAAGTCCCTTCTGAGGGAAGCCCGCTGGACAAGCCTAAGGAAGAGGCTTCCAAGGATGACGAATAGAGTCGAAACGTTGACTATTGCTCTTATTGATATCTGTCTGTCTACATCTGAACTTTCGGCTGGGATTGTATTGTATAGGACATTGTAAATTTTCCTTTTCTCTGGTGTTATATCATGTATCAACAATGCTATTTGAATTGATCTTCTGGTCTAGACTCATGGATTAGGATAGTCTTCCCCTTAGCTGTTTGCGCAGTTCATGGCCGACCACGCCTTACGCCTAGGTTGACTGCGTTTCAGTCAGCCTCATCGTCCTATGGGTACTTACTAAAAGGTATTGTTTAATTACAAGTTGTTTATGTGTGTCACAGCAAACAGTTGATTCAAAATTCAATCTCTTCTATACTATCTAACGCCACCGACATCTATCATCATGATCCGGGTAAACAATTTCCACGTATTACCAAAAGCTTCAACGAACTTTCTAAACCAACCACAACATCCCCTGTCTAGTTCTTCAAGGTATAAACCACCCGTCCCCGAGAGTCCTTACCCTTATACTCCACAGTCTTTCCAATATCCGACACAACGCGTCTCTCATCACCATTATGAAGGACGATATCAAGATCTTTCCAAGCAGGAACAAATCCAGACTTCTCATCACGAGAGAATCCAACAATAACCTTCTCCTCCGTGGAGCTATACGTGATAGTATACTCCGAGATGCGCGCCTCAAGCGAGATACCATCATCTTCGAACCAAGTAGTGCTGAACACCTGGCCATGAGAACTACCACGGGGCGGGAAGATTTCAACTCCACGGTAATCATCGACCTCTTTCACAGCCACAGAAGCCGGAGTGTCATCGCCAGGAACCCTGGTATGGACTGGCTTTCCGACGGGGATGGCACCGCCGATTCTAGCCAGAAGGGGAATGCTCTTCCTCCATTCGGAGGGCACTTCCACCCATTGTCCGGAGGCAAGGTAGTTATAAGGCTCGTTCATGTTCACGTACCCGAAGTCGAACTTGTCATTCGCCTTACGGGGAAGATATAACTTGGCAACGTTCACGCCGGGCTCGTACACACCGCCGACCATGATGGTGTCACCGAACCAGAACTGCTCGTCGCCCGATTTCAGGGCCTTCGTCCATACCTCCGGGTCGGATTCATAGCCCCATCCTACCCAGCGCTGGGGCGGGGACGCCGTCAGATGGCTTTCTAGACCGAGGGAGTAGATGTAAGGGAGGATCTCGTAGCGACGCTTGATGGTATCGCGGACGAGAGAAGTGATCTCGGGGTACATCCACGGCTCGATGACGTCTCCGACGGAGCTGTTCCCAGGAGATGTCTTGAAGCAGTTGATGGCGAAACGAGGCGAGTGGATACCCAGTTGGATCCATCTGAGCAGCAGCTCAGGAGAGGGCTGAGGTCCTTCGAATCCTCCGATATCGTGACCGCAGCACTGTAGAAGAGAGATACCTGCGCTGAGGGACAGAGCGTTCGCTCCCTTCATGCCCTCCCAGCTGGTCACGTTGTCTCCGCTCCAGGTGCTGGCAGCGTAGCGCATTGTACCTGCGGTGGCACTGCGAGTCAGGACGAACGGTCTGTGGTTGGGCTCAATGTTGAGCAGAGCGTCGTGGGAGGCTTTGCCCATGAGTTCGGTGTGCATGGCGCGACCCCACTGGCCGACGGAGTTCTCGACGCCCTTCTTGACGGCCTCGGAGACGGTTGGCTCGTCCAATGCTAACTTCCAATCGTCGTCTGGGAGCGTGTACTCGTTGTTGTCGTTCCACATGGCGTCGATTCCGGCGCGCTTCAGGCTCTGCACGCCGTCATACCACCACTTGAACGCAACAGCGGATGAAAAGTCGATGTGACATCCGTCACCTCCTGTTGCGCCTCCGGCACTCCACAGTCGCATGTAGCCCGGCTTGTTGCTCGCAGGGTCCTTGAAGAACCCGTTTGAATCAATAAGCTTCTGGAAGTCGGGGTGTGAGGCAAGCAGGAATGGCTTGATGTTGGAGAGAAGGCGGATACCCCGACCATGGTATTTGGCAATCCACTCTTCGGGATTGGGGAAGCGATGTTTGTTCCATGTGAAGACATTGCGGACCTTTGGCTCGGTTTCGGCGATCGAGTATCCGGAGCTCATTTGGTGTGCGGAGCAGGGAATGCCGTGCTCTTCCAGCTTGTCTGCGAACTCCATCAATGCCTCGTGAGCAGGCGGGTCGTCAAGCATGGTGTACTTGTATCCACCTGAGATGTAACCATATGCCCATCTGGGGACGAGGATCGGAAGACCGACAAGCTCTGCGTAGGAGCGCACGACATCCTTGAGCGTCTTGCCGACGATGAGGTACTGTTCCAATCCGCCGTAGTCTTGACGGTAGACTTTGAAGTGGCCCCAGAGGCCGTCGACCTCTGAGCCGACAGACCAGGTTCCTCTGCCGTGTGTAGTCGAGAAGATGGCCACGCATCCATCAGGCGATGCCTTGATCAGCAGAGGAATGTGCTTGTATAGAGGGTCGGTGTTGTAAACATCGTATCCGAAGCTGTCGGTGGCTGAGAGCTGGAAATGGCGTCCTGTGAGGTCCATGGGAGCTCTTTTCTCGCCAAGCCCAACGTGAAGGCAATCACGGTCATGCTCTGTGTAGTGTGCGATGCCGGTGGAGTCTGCGACATAGGAGCGAAGTGGCAGATCGCGATATAGGTGCTTCTCGGTGCCCTTCCATGATAGGGAGACGACTGGGGTGTTGCTCCAGTCAACGGACGCTGTTACGTCTCCCACTTCGATTGTCTTTTGATTCGAACCGCCTGATGTGGAGACTTGGACTCCATCTAGGTTTGTTGCTGGCTTGGTCACACTGGGGAAGGGAGGGAGAGGGTGGTCTTGCGATGAGAAGGTGACTCTGAATAGGTTCTCGCGAATTGGTTCAAAAGAGAAGTCGAAGGAACGCTCATCGGGGCTCGAGCGAAGATGTACAGAGGAGGAGTCTTGAGCCCCAGTTGGAGACTCTTGATAAGTCTTAGGGACGAACTCTTTTTGAGGCATTGTTGTGTGTACTCCCTTGAACAGGGTCAATTGAGTGAATACGAATGAGGATTTGACTACAGGATTTGGATTCAAGCCAGAATACCGCTCTATTTGAGTGATTCTACATGCCTCTGTCCCACCGGCATTGCGTGAGGAGCAGTGCCGTTGAGGCCCACCAGCGTGGAGCTGTATAGTCGGATTTCGGGGAGTATCTCCGACACGTCTGGCACAAGGCACTACTTTGTCCTACAGGGTTAGTGAACTTTCCCCCACACTTTGTGCTCCCCCGCGTCCCCGTGACCCACACCCAAGCGAAGCTGGAGATACTTTTTGTACTCGGTCATTCGCTTTTCGTGCCCGAAATCCGAAGCTAGATGCTGTTCAACGTCAAGTATCTCCCCACTCCCATGAATTCACCTGCACGGTGATGGCACAACTGCAATTCATTGGATGTCGCATCGGATAATGTCCGACAGTTTCCACGTCATGTTATCCCGTGGTGTGTTGCCGGGATGGAACGACTACCTCGACGCTAATCTTGTCATGGGCGTCGTGACGAGCCATGGCTGAATTGATTCGCTCCCGCGTCGGGTTTGGGCTGCTTCCGTCCGGGGCAGAGGATGAGGCTTTCCCCACGGGGTTGCCCTTTGGAGTGTAGCTGTACGATGAAGGGGGATATGCTATTACCCAGTGCTGTTGTGGCCTTTGTCTGGGTTTTATCTTGCACTTTGGGGAATCTTCTCTTCGTTCTGGATTACTCTTGCTGAAGGTTGGGACGCTTATTCTTCCTACTTGAGAGACGGTCGTCTTGTTAGGGCTATTTCAAGTACAGTTCGACTACAGAAGAACAGACGAGGAACCATGTCCCACAAACAAGGAACAACGCCCGCAGACAAGACACAAGATGAGCATATTGAATCAGTCGAGAACGCGCCACGTCGGGAGCTGCAACATGCAAACGAACCTACTCAGGATACAGCTTTTGGCCTCATGAGAGACGCAGGTCATTCAGCCATCCTAACACCCGAGAACAACGCCAAAGTCCTTCGGAAGATCGATCTAAGGCTCCTGCCTATTCTGCTGGGAATCTATTTCCTGCAGCAGGTCGATAAGTCGACTCTCTCATACGCATCGGTCTTTGGGTTGGTCGAGAAGGCCCATCTACATGGGCAGGAATACTCGTGGCTGGGGGCGGTCGTCTACCTGGTGCAACTCGTTGCTCAGCCATTCGTCGCCTACATCCTGGTCAAGGTGCCTCTGGGGAAGTTCCTGGCATGTACGACCTTTTGCTGGGGCATTGCCCTGACATGCATGACCCCAGCGAACACTTTTGCGAAGTTGTTGGTTTGTCGGATGTTTCTGGGTCTCTTTGAAGCTGGTATACGTGAGTATTCCCTCTGGCCACAGTTGGCTGTTCTGGTACTAGTGCTGAAGTTGGATGACAAGCGCCGGCGTTCATTGCGATCACGCAAATGTGGTATCGACGACGAGAACAACCCGTCCGACTTGGTTCATGGTATGCTATGAACGGAGTGGTGAACATGGTGAGTATTAGTTTTCCAACCTACTTGTTATGTATGACTGCTAATGGGGACTACAATCTAGTTTGGAAGTCTGATAACCTACGGTCTTGGTCACATTGGATCTTCGGTCTTCGAGCCCTACCAGGTGGGTTATTTTCACCATCATGGAGGCGAGATGCTAACTGTACCACAGATTATTTTCTTGTTTTTCGGGCTCATCACGATTGTTTTCTCTGCCGTTGTATTGTGAGACATGCCGTTTCAACAACGAACGTTGCACCTTCCTGACCTTTATATCTTAGTATTCTGACACCTGACTCGCCGATGAAGTCCAATTTTCTTCACGAAGAGGATAAAGTTCTGGCTATTGAAAGGTAACTACTATGCAGTTGTTAAAAAACGCGCCAAATGCTCACAACTGTGGTTAGACTTCGTATGAACCAGCAAGGTATCGAAACGCACGAGTGGAAATGGCAGCATGTGAAAGAAACATGCCTCGACATCAAGTCTTTCTTTTGGTTTGCTTTGATGTTCTCAATCTCGTAAGATACTTTTATTCAAGCATTGAAGCGGAACGTACTGACGATATCACAGAATCCCCAGCGGCGGTATCTCGACCTTCGGGCCATTGATCATCGAAGCATTCGGATTCAACCAATTTGACACAATTCTTTTCAATATACCTTTTGGCGCTGTCCAGCTCATTGCAACTATGGGAGGGGCGTGGATGGCGACTAAGCTCCAGATGAAGGGTCCTGTCATAGCTTTGCTCTGTTTGCCTGCTATTGCGGGATGTGTAATGTTGTTGCAGATTCCGCACGATGGTAATCACAATGGGGCACTGCTTGCAGGATATTACATTGTAAGTTTTATGTTGATGTCTGCAATGTGCTCGCTAATATTTGCTAGATCTCTGTATACCCAGGAATTAGTATGTCTCTATGAATTGCGCAAACGGGCCCAAGCTAACAGACTATAGCACCCTTGATCTACTCGTGGTCTGCTGGTAACACAGGAGGCGAAACAAAAAAGAAGCTCGTGAACGGTATTCTACTCGTTGGACAATGTGCTGGTAACGTATGTAAACCAAACAGTCCGGAAAGCAGGGTCAAGCACTGACATGGAACAGGTCCTAGGATCGAACCTGTACACTACAACTGAAGCACCGCTATACAGACGTGGTCTGCTCTCCAAGTAAGCCTGAAAAGAGCCAATGAGTGACTGTGGACAATACTGATCATGCATACAAACAGCCTCGCCATGTTCTGTGTTCTCATCCTGCTTTGCGCGTAAGTCCCCCACACCATAATTTAGCTTCACCTACTCATCTACTTTTAGATTGAACATGGGATACCTCTTCTTCCTAAACAAGAAACATGAGCAAAAGCGAGTGAGCATGGGAAAGAGCGCAAAGATCATCGACCACTCCATGCAAGCCGTAGGAGCCGTCCCAATCGACAAGACCGAAGCACCTCAGGAGACGCTTGGCGATGACAATGCGTTCAAGGACCTGACGGACTGGGAGAACGAGGATTTCGTCTATGTATACTAAGAGCGGGCTCTTCACCCCAATGCGGTAAGGAATGATGGAATGTCTTGAGGAATATGCGGGTTATGTTTATAGCGTTCATTTCATGTTATCATGTTATTCAGTCTATGGAGAGTATCTGTTACTGGCGATAGTCAACAACATATTACCATGTTCTTAGTATAATACTTGAACAAGAAGCAAGACAGCCGGAACTGAAATAAAAACCAACCGCAATCAAACCAAGTTCGTAGTTAGTACCTTCCAATAGCCGACTCGGCAATCCCCCGGCGAGACGGCGTGGGGCCCCGCCTTTTCCTCTCATGCCATCCCCGTTCAATCTATTTACCCCCTTCCAAACCGACTCCTTCTTCCGACGATCAGTGCGCATACCCTGCATTTTGATGCAGTCTTGTCTCTAATCTAATGCAAACGACTATACCTACTCGGAAAGTTAATAATGGACTCAGACGAGGAATCCTCCTGCGCGGTATCCGCTTCAGTTGGGAAGAAGCGCATCCCGGTATGCTTGCTTGACTTGATTCCTAGGTCACCTTGGGAGTTATATGAGCTGCGATGCTACTAGTGCAGTAGCTACTGTCTAGATAAAAGAAGCACTGCTAATATATGTCAAAATGGTCTAGAAAGCATGTACTTCTTGTCGGCAGTCGAAAGTACGTCATCTTTCTTACATACTGTGACACTGTGTCTTCGGCTCGATTTTATTGTTTTACTAATGTGTTGGGTGGTATAGGTCAAATGCGATGGTAAACGGCCATGTACGAGGTACGTATGTCCTAATGAGTTTCTAAGATGAGTATGCTGATGAAGATGATTAGATGTAAACGTGCAAGGAAACGATGTGTATTCTTTGAAATACCGAAGGATCCTGCTGTTTTGTATGCATCTCCCTCTTATTCCCGGTTGGAGACGCTGTTAGTTTGTTGACCATGGTACCATGTTCAGACGCCTGGAGAATGTCGAAGCAGAAGTACAGCGTCTACGGGAGCAATTGAGTAATGTGAACGAGCTACTGCTACGTCAGTCTACGCAGCAGCAACAGCAAATTGCTGTCACTTCTCCCGCTTCCGCTCATGTCATGTCTGATCCTGGAACGATGCCGGCATTCCTTGCTACGGGAGGCATGGGTGGGTACCATCACCATTGGCGAGGCGCTAGATACCCTATGGCCCATAGGGATCATGATGCTGGCGTATTTCAGTACCATACTCCTGGGATGGAGGCTGCTCGGCCTACCAGGTTGCGACGCTCAGGGTTCGATATCAAGGAAGAGCCAGTATTGGATTTTATTAGTAGGGGGATGATGACGGCTGATCAGGCTATGTCGTGCTTTAGGACGTATGTTGCTTTTGACGCCTGGTGCCTGATGTTTGCTAACATGCAGTATAGATTCTTTCAGGGCTGTGTACGTGATCTCATTTTTGGTTATGATTTTCAGGGCTTATGCACAGGGAATTAGGATAGGTATATCCCAGTATTTGATCCAGATATCGACACTTTCAACTCTGTGCGCGCTCGGAGTAGCATTCTGTTTAATGCTATCTGCACAATTGGCAGCCGAGTTGAGATCAGTACGCTTGATACAGAATCATTTGGATTAGTGACAAGTCGCTGACAATTCCAGGGTCTGGATCTCAGATCCCCGATCTACTCCATGCCGAACTCAAGAGATCGATAAACGTTATTATTCAAAATAAAAACCTCAATTGCTTGGAATCCGTGCAGGCTTTGCTCGTTGTAGCCTGCTACTCTGCTGAGCGGTCCTTGATCCTGTCTTTTGCAACGAGGATGGCGTTGGATTTGGGGCTAGATGAAGCTTTTGAGGAACTGATACAAAGACTGACGATGAAAGAGACTGAACAGGTTCATGATATGACAGGTGTGCTTGTGGATGATGAAGAGCGTACACTCATGCGCAAATCTAGGATTTGGTTTGGTCTCTTGGTACTTGATCATATGTAAGTATGCAGTACCAGTCAGGTATATGCGCATGCTAAGAAGGCATAAACAGATTCCATGTCGACGGTGGGAAGCCTCCTGGCATCCGGGTGACCGGGAACGCTCATCGATGTCGCATTCTGCTTCGCCATCATACGTCTACCGTCTTGGATTTACGGCTTTTCTCCCAGGTGGAGGTGAGTGTGTCTGTCTTGAACTTACTACCACCATAGTAACTAATTTGAATAGCTGAACATCATACGTGGTAAGCGCCTTACAATTTAAGATACTGACAGGCTGGATAACAAGATGGTAGCAAGAGTGAACGATACTCTAGACGCCAAAGAAACACTACAAAGATCAGATATCACAGAGTTTGTACACGAAGCCAAGGTAGATCTCGATCTATGGTTCGAGTAAGTGAATTTCCTAGCAAGTATCCTCATCACATAGTTCTCCAACTAATCTCAACCAGCGACTGGCTACGCATTATCGGTACCACCACCATATAGCACCATGCCCAAACGATATACCAACTCTACTAACATGCCCAGAAAACTCCCCATCTGCCACCCAAGAACGCCCCTTCCTCCTCGCGGCCCTACGAGTTCAAAAATGCTGGGCCGAGTTGATCCTGCACTGCAAAGCGCTCCGCTCCATGGGCGTAGGAAACGTCGCGTACATACTAACCTTCCCCCCAAAACCCTAACCCAAACCATATCTACCTACTAACCCATATGCCGACGTAGAGAAATGTCCCCACTCGAACAAACCATCCTTCTAACCGCCAAATCCAGCGCCCGAAAACACCTCCGCCTAATCAGCCTCGAACCCGACTTCTACCTCGCCAAACTCAAATACGCTATGGATTTCGTCTGGGCTAAATGCGCCTTCTGTTTCCTCTTACTCCTAAAGTTATCTCGCCTCGTCCCTGAACAAAAAGAAGAGCACACGGAACTTCTAGATCATGGAAATAGACTCCTTGATGAGCTAACTAAGACGAACGGGGAATCGGCCCCAACAGCAGCAACGGCGACAACAACAACAGGGATAGGGAATAACAATAATATCTATATGCAGATATTGCGATTGAGTATTGAGAAATATAGTCGTGTGTTGCAGGAAAGGGAGGTTAATGGTGCCTCGATTGAGGAGGCAGGAGGAATGAGTAGTGGAGGGGAGGGAGGGAATACCAATCAACCGGGCACCAATGCGATGACGCCATTTTGGGAGTTATTTGATGCGCAGGCCGATCTGCAGAGTTTTGTACCTGAGCAGTTTGTTCGGGAGTGGGATTTTCCGGGCCTGGATTTATTTTATTTTCCTACGGCGTGGCAGGATTTCTTTGGGGATTTTTCGTTGGCGGTTTGATTTCAATTATCTTGTGGGTGGTTAGTTGTGGGATTGGATGGTCATACTGATTGAGTATGTGTATGCGGACAGTGTGAAGTCCAGCGCATGTTAGTAGATGGTAGAGAAGGAATCATCATATCATATCATATTGAGCTGGCCAAGTGTTGAAATCCTGAATGCTTTGCCAGAAGGAAGAACGAATAACTCTATATAACCATGCGAGTTTAACATTGTTTGTAAAAAAAGGATGACGTCTAAGTGGAACTTTTCCTCCAGTGCCTGTTGAATGAATGAAAGAAAACTAAAACGGGGATATCAAAACCCTAAACCACCACCAAACTTGGGTATTATTTCATTTCATTTCTTGTGCTAAGTCGATTGGGGGCGAAGTAGCTTAGCCCAGGGCTCTCATGGTGAGCTCGACACTGTAATGCGTAATGCAATTAGTAAGTACTCGACATAAAGCAGCAGCAGGAGAGTAAGTAGGAGGTGAAATAGTGAACGTACACAGCAAAAGTACCCGCCGACACAGGCATAGCCCTCAGCAAGGTAGGTCCAATACCCTTCCAGAAGCCAGCGAGACCCTCAACAGCATAGGTCTTCTTAAAGCAGTCGGTCATGCTCTTGAACTGCTGCTGAGCGCCGAAGCCATCGCACTGCATCTTACTCTTGACGACGTCGAAGGGGTAACTGGACAGCCAGAGGGCCTCACCAGCCAGACCACCGTAGGTAGCGACCTTCAAGCTGGAGATGTCCTCACGCTTGATATTGTTGCGCTTGGCATCCTGGTTCATGAGGTACTCGAAAGCCAAGAACCAGGTTCCGTAGGCCTGGGCTTCACGGAGGTAAGTGACGTTCTGACCGCGGAAGAGACCCTTGAGAACACCGCCCTGGTTGCAGAGCTTGCGGATGCAGTCGATGGGGCCGTTGTACAGACGATCAGCTCCGTGGGGCTGGGTTTGCAGACGGATACGGACGTGCTCGATAGGGCCGGACAGGAAGGAGTTGGTGAGACCGGCAAAACTACCGGCCATGTAGTACTGCGTGTAGGAGAGAGTGCTGTCCGCGTACTTCTTCTTGTTGAGCTTCTCCAGACGTCTGCGGGCTTCGTGGAAAGCTCCGAATTGAACGCTGACCTGGGGGCTGGTCAGTATGAGTGAGAAGGGACTGATGATTGGCTTAATGGGGGTTGCTTACGCAGGCACCGATTCCGATCAACGGAGTCAGGGTACCCTTGTAGAAGGCGAAGGGGCCCTCGTTCTTCAGGATCTTGGTGGCGCAGTCCAGAGCACTGGAGTACTGGGTGGTGGTTTGCAGGCGGACCTTGACAATGTCTGGTCATTGTTAGGAGAACTCTCGGGTTGGAGAGAGAGGGTTACCCACCAAAAGGTTGTCCTGTGCATTGTTAGTATGTGCTTTGAGTAGAGATTTGTGGTAGTGATGAGGGATAATTCTGATAAGGCATGATAAAGCAATGCGCCAGCACATCTCTCACCGTGATGGGATACTCCATCTACGGAGGACATGTGCGCGCAATTGCATCGGGGATGGTATATGTATATGTTCAAAGAACATGAAGCGATGATTATGACATACCAAGAAGCACCTGAGCAATTCCACCAGCAGCACCAGCACCCAAATCCTTGAGGGTGCGAAGGGTTCCGCCCCCCTTCTGCATGTCCTCGAATGCCTCGGACTCCATTGCGGGGAAGTATTACAGGTTCGGGAAACTGAAAGTTGAAAGGAGATCGAGTCGTAGAGCTAAGGACGGAATCGCACCGAACGACGCAGCTGATCTCTCAATCCCGAGAACCCAGGGGTCTTTGTACAGACAGGAAGAAGGAGGAAGAGACGGAGCTTATCAGAAAGACGAGAAAGAAGAGCGCAATTGATGTCGCGAGAGTGCTCGCCTCCGATTCGGCGATGGCGCCGAGCGCACGTGAGGCGGAAAACTGGCGGACCCGCGGGATGAGTCAGCAGGCAGCGTACGGGCGGATACACCAGCGTTACTTTGATTACTTACGGCGCCGATGTTCTTCTCCGCAGTTTTGGCGCCGAGGGTTTCGCTGTGAGCAACGACAATACATCATGCACAGACGGGCTGCTTTGGAAGTGAGTTGAAATTTTCTTATAGCTTTACAGGATTTGAGCTAATAGTCACCCTTTTCTTCCAGCTATCCCGTCGTCACGGTGTCGAATGGTCGTGCGCAACCGCCCGCAGAAATGCTGCCTTCACTCCCGTAGTAGGCTTGGTGCCTCGACGGCATTTTCGAATCTCTCCTCTTCGTCTCGAATCATCCGATTCTCCGCCATCAAACAGTCCCGGTGGACCAGTTGCAGGTACAAGCTCCGGCTCAGCACCTACAGGCCCGAAGTTCGGTAATCGTTGGGGTAGCAAAGCGCAGAGACCGCTTGGGCTGAGTGCAGCGGAGCAAGCTATACGAGACTCTTTAGTCGCAAAGAGGCAACAAGAAGAACAGCGACAGCAACAACAATTACAGAGACAAGAGCAAGACCGGCAGCGTAAAGAGAGGCAACAGCAATCGCAACAACGATGGAAGGAAGGGCGGTCCCAGGGCCGCACGGAAGAGCAATGGCCGAGCACGAGATGGCGGGATTCCGGCTTCAAGCCCAGGCAATCCGATGCATTCCCCAGGCGCCGCTCGGGTCTTAACAGTGAGGACAAGGAAAGCCTGTCTCTACAGCCCGATAGGTCACTCGAAGTCAACGTCAACAAAGTGCCCAAGCACAAGCGGTCGACAGGTTGGACATGTCCAGATTGTCAGACGAGATGTTACGGGCAGCATACCGTCTGCCCGCACTGCAAAGCACCCAGGCCGAACCTGCACGAGGGGCCGCAACGGCACCGGGGCTCACCCCGCCATCGCCACGCAGACGAGGAAGCTACAAAGATTCGAAAATTGGGCCAGTCTATTTTGTCTGATAAGGATAGCGGGAATGCTGAAGGGCTCGGCTCAAGGGAAACAGCGTTCAGAGGTTATATGGCAAGCCAAGGGCAATTTGCCGGTCCACGACCTGTGTTCGACTCCAATGTCGATAAAGAAATATCCGTCCAGGAAGCCAGGGAAGCAAGGAAGAAGGAAATAGAGGCAAGAAAAGAAGAGAGGGAGGCAAAGAAGGAAGAGAGGAAAGCGCAGCAGCAAGCAGAGGAAGACAAGCAGGAAAAGAAAGCTAGTGACCCTTGGACCTGGGATCCGTCATCTTTGAAGAACATCAAAGTACGTGAAGATGATGTCTCGGAAACGAAGCCGAAACGAAAGGCCAGTCGCAAGCAACGCGAGTCTGGTAGGGATGAGGAGGATTTATTTGACGAGGACGACGAGTCTCAGCGCCGGAAGCGTCGCGAAGAGAAGAAGCGCTTGAAGAAGGAGAAAGCGCGCAAGAAGGAGATGCAAGCTAATGTCAGCCCTCTATATCTCCCCGAGTTCATCAGCGTCAGCAGTCTTGCAGACGTCATTGGTGTCCGTCCTGCACAGTTTGTTAAACGTATGGAGGATATGGGTTTCGACGACGTTACGTATGATCATGTCCTTGATGCCGAAACCGCCGGCCTGATCGCCTCTGAATACAACTATGAACCCATTTTTGACAATGGCGAGGGTGACTTGACCGCAGCGCCAGAGCCAGAAGACAAGTCAAGTCTACCTGTCAGACCCCCGGTCGTGACGATCATGGGGCATGTTGACCACGGCAAAACCACCATCCTCGACTGGCTTCGCAAGTCCTCGATTGTCGCAACGGAGCACGGGGGTATCACGCAGCACATTGGTGCATTCTCGGTGGCTATGCCTTCCGGAAAGACCATCACCTTCTTGGATACTCCTGGCCACGCTGCTTTCTTGGATATGCGCCGTCGTGGTGCGGACGTGACCGACATTGTGGTCCTTGTCGTCGCGGGTGATGACAGTGTTAAGCCCCAAACGATTGAGGCAATTAAGCATGCCACTTCAGCCAATGTCCCCATCATTGTTGCCATGAGCAAGATGGACAAGGAAGGCGTCAATCCTGACAGGGTGAAACAGGACCTCTCGATGCACGGTGTACACGTCGAGGATTTTGGTGGTGACGTACAAGCAATCGGCGTGAGTGGAAAAACCGGCCAGGGAATGTTGGAGCTTGAAGAAGCAATTATCACCTTGTCAGAGGTGCTCGACCACCGGGCTGACCCCCAGGGTCACGTCGAAGGATGGGTTATCGAGGGCACTACCAAGAGCTATGGCCGTGTAGCTACTGTACTTGTCCGGCGGGGAACACTTCGAACGGGAGATATCATTGTTGCTGGCACCACCTGGGCGCGCGTGCGCACACTTCGGAACGAAGCTGGTCAGACAATTCCCGAAGCCACTCCTGGCATGCCAGTGGAGGTTGATGGCTGGCGAGAACAGCCAGCGGCTGGCACCGAGCTTTTGCAGGCTGACGACGAGCAGCACGCTAAGGGCGTCGTGGACTACCGGTTGGAACGGGCTGAGACACAGAAACTGAGCGAAGACATGACCGCTATCAACGAAGCGCGTCGTGAAAAGCTTGAGAAACGCCGTCAAGAAGTGGCTGGCGCGGACCAGGCCGAGGAGACTGTACAATCTGGCCCCAAGCCAGTACAATTCATCATCAAGGCCGACGTTGGTGGTTCGGCAGAGGCCGTTCTCAACTCGGTCACTGCTGTCGGTAACAACGAAGTGTACGCCAATGTACTTCGCTCCGAAGTAGGCCCGATCAGTGAGTTCGACATTGAGCATGCGGCCACAGCCAATGGTCACATTATCACGTTCAACATGCCCGTCGACCCTGTGATTTCTCGGATGGCAGAGAAGCGCGGCGTCAACATCATGAACCACAACGTAATTTACAAACTCATTGATGATGTCAAGAGCATCTTGAGTGAGCATCTGGCACCTAATGTCACCCAGCGTGTGACGGGAGAAGCAGAGATCGGACAAATCTTCGAAATCACGGTTAAGGGACGTAACAAGACAGCCATCGCAGGATGCAAGGTGCGCAATGGAATGATCAATCGGGCCAAGAAGGTCCGTGTGATCAGAGGTAATGAGACAATCTACGATGGTGAGTTGAATCCCTCAATGGCGTGTTACTTATGACAGTTGACTAACTGGCCGCAGGCTCAATCACGTCTCTAAAGAACGTCAAGAAGGACGTAACAGAGATGCGCAAAGACACGGAATGTGGTATCGGCTTCGATGGCTGGACCGACTTTGCCGTTGGCGACCACATCCAATGCTACGAGGAAGTCTTCGAGAAGAGATACCTCTGATCGACATTTCGGCTTCACATTCACACCCTCTTTTCCACTCTCAACTTCTGGCATCTGTATTTTTAGCGGACACCCATCGTCCACCTCTACATACATACCCCTTGGCTGTTACCCATGTTTCTCATCTGCATGTCCCAAAAGCGTGTGGCTGAGCAACAACCCATTCTGTACAATATGATCCCGGGGATGATGAGCTTATACCAAAAGTACTACGCATCATCACCACCCGGATAGAAAGGAGTCTACAAATCAAAGTTCTATACCCATCTACAACAATCCCCCCCCACATTTACCCAACCCATCTCATAGTATCATAATTCAAAACTACACGTAAAATAAACCCAGGATTCATCTACCTAGCTTTCCACCTCACCCTCCCCACCCACCTCGCCCAATCCATCACATCCTCCCTCTCACAAATCCTCTCAACAGTAAACCACTCCCTCGCCAGCTCCTCATTACTCGCCATGCGATGCACAAAACTATGACACGCCCGACACAACCACGCCACACTATTCAACCTCCACTCCTCATGCCACCCCTTCTTGACCACCTTGGCATGCACACTCCTCGGAATCAAATGATGATACGACAGCGGAATCCAATCCCGCTCACAGATCTCGCACGCATCCGTGCGCGTAGTCGCCCACACTGGCGGCGGCTTCGTCACCGACGCTACGTACTCGCCTAGTATCGGCGCGAGGAAATAGGGAATGTCGGACGCGGATTCGATGACTGCGTACGCTGTTAGGGTATCTGTGATGGAGGCGGGTAGGGTGTGCGAGGTCCTTTCGGCGAGGTGTTGTGGGCTGTATTCTTTGTCGCTTGTGAAGTCGGTGTTGGGGTCGTAGGTGAGGGTTTGGAGTGAGGGTGGTTGGAGTGATGGGAAGGTTTCTGTGGCTATGAACTGTTTTTTTGGTGGTGAGGAGAGGGGGAGAGAGGGAGGGGAGGGGGTTGTGTACCCCGCTCTCTCGCGCGCTCTCTCTCTCTCTCGTCCTCTCTCGGTGAGGTTAGTTGGGTTTTGTTGTTGTGATGGTTGGATTGGACTAAGTGTAGGCTACGCACGTCGATAAAGTCGGCCAGGTCTTCTGGATCCGTTCTAGTGAACTCATTTTGTTGGACTTGTTCTGCATCCGGTTTTGGGTCTGCTCGACTGCTGGACTTCTGGCGCGGGGTTGTGCGCGGACGTCGCGCTTTCTTGGTTCGAGGTGTCGGAGAGAATTTCGCGACGATTGCGCTCGATACGCAGTCGCGGAAGATTTGGTAGTTTTCGCTGTCTGGCGCTGTCATTGTGGGTTCATTGGAAAGGTTGTTGGGTTGTTGTTTGTGGTGGTGAGGCGGTTGGGTCGATGAGTGAGGCCTTGACATCATCGTCAATCGGCCGCTTCTACATTAGTAGTTGAGTTTACGGGAGCCGTGTTTCTTTCTTGTCTTCTACGACCACATCTATCCGAGATTCGATTGCGCTGGAATACTCAATTACATGATGGGGGATATTGTTCTTGCTTTCGACATTTATGGCACACTGCTCTCCTTTGAGGCTGTCATCCGTGAGCTGGAGCGCTTCTTGAATGACGATGCCCGGGCCCGCACCGTGGCACAGACATGGAGACGCTACCAGCTTGAATACACCTTCAGGCTGAACAGCATGGGTATGTTGCTGTCCGAAAGGATTGCTTCTACATTGGCTAATGTCGTCTCATGCTTCAGGGCGCTATCTTACCTTCCTGGAAGTTACCAGGAATTCCCTTCTGCATGCCTTGGATGATACGGGTACCTCGCTGGGAGACAAGGAGATTGAGCATCTTATGGCGACCTATGATAGACTGACACCCTTCCCCGATGTCGAGGACGCTTTAAATCAACTTTCAGCCTTTCCGCAAGTCACCTCAGTCATCTTTTCAAATGGCACCCGGGGCATGATAGCTAATTGTGTGGAGAGCTCGACGGTTCTATCGCAGCACAAAACATTCTTTAGAGATGTTGTCAGCGTCGACGAAGTGAAGCAGTACAAGCCCGCTCCGGCAGTCTACAATTATCTGGCAAAGTGCGTCGGCCGGAACCAGTCGGAGATGAAGGATATCTGGCTAGTCAGTGGCAATCCATTTGACATTGCAGGCGCCCGCAATGTGGGCATGAATGCCATTTGGGTAGAGCGGGCTGAGGCAGGCTGGGTCGACAAGGCGTTGCCTGATGTCAAGCCGACAGCGATCGTTCACCATCTGGGAGGGATTGTAGATGTGATTAAGCAACAATTGTCACTATAGCATCCCTACTGCTAGCAGATTTATAGGTCTTTTACATGGGTTGACATCGGCAACATGCCTGATTTCTTAAAAGTGATGTACCACTGTAAATATTTCCAAACGCTCCACGCTTGAGGAGGAGAATTCGGGGTAAGTCAGCGAGTTGCTCTGACCTTCTATTTCCCCTCCAAGGTTCCACGGTCAAGGAGCTCAGAGTGAATAAGAAGGTGTTCAGTTTATGTATGGAAGAAAAGAAAAGAGAAGGTTGAAGCGGGCGAAAATTTCAGCTTTATAGCTTGTGCTTCACCGCCCGCTTATCGATAAGGTCTTGGCGGGCATGACGATGTTGAGGCCGTGCTCGGGTGTGTTTGTGCCTTGTCCGCATCGTTCTCCATCTCACACTTGCGCTCTTTCTCTGCTTTAATACAGACCCCTTTTCTACCAGTTTTCTTTTGGCGTTACAATCTCCTTTTGTTGATTTGATCATGCCACACAGACATATCGATACTACTAAAGCAGCGTGGTTATATCCCCTGCGGGTATGTTTGCCCACGTTGCTGCCTGTTCCCTTTTGTGACGGTGAAACTGATGGTTTGGTCTTTCTACAGGGCATTTATTACTTTGCGTCGCATCGCTACCTTTGGCCTCTTTTCAAGACTCGTCTAATTCCGATCGTTCTCCTGTCCGCTTTCATCTACGTCCTGCTCTTCCTGTTTGCATATTTGCCTCAGGTGGCCTTCCTGTCCATCTTCCAGGGTGTCGGGGCCTGGATCAATGGCGCGTTCCTGGTTCTAGGAGAGGGGGCGGCCATTGTTGCTGCTCTCTTTGAAGCCTTCTTCGTCGATGAGACCCTCGTGGACATCTTCGATTCGGTGCTCGTGAGTGAGGGCCATGGCGAACTCGTCACCATGTCGAGGGTTTTGTACCCCCAGGGCGATGATGTCGTCAAACGGCTCGGCAAGCCCACCAAGAGCGCCGTTTATGCACCGTTTTCTCTACGGCAAATCGTGGAATTTATTGTGCTTCTACCGCTGAACTTTATTCCGGTGGCTGGAACACCCATGTTCCTCGTGCTGACCGGCTACCGGGCGGGCCCCTTCCACCATTGGCGATACTTTCAGCTGTTGGATCTCTCGAAACAGCAGCGCAAAGAAAGGATTCGCCGCAGACAATTGCAATACACCACGTGGGTTTCAACCTTCTTTCCCCTGACACAAACCCCCTTGAAGATCAACCGAGGTTCATACTGACGCTCAACCACGAGGGAACCCAGATTTGGGACGGTGGCCCTGATACTTCAGTTGATCCCCATTTTGTCCATGTTCTTCCTGATGTCAACCGCGGTTGGATCTGCTCTATGGACGGTGGATCTTGAAAACAAGCGCGATCTTTTGGGCAGGAGGCCCGGGCGAGATCCCGAAGGTCTCTACCGCGACGATTACAACGATGATGATGCTATGATTTAGTTTGTGTTTTTTATTTTCTTTTTCTTCTTCTTTTCTTGATGCTCCTTTAGCCTTTATTCCCGCTTCTTTTAGCGTCCCCCCGTTTTCTTCACTTCTATGCTGCCCTTGTGGTTTCAAGGGATGTTTTGATTTACCTTGTCAATTGTTGGGATATCAACGTACAGAATACCGATTTTTAATGTGGTCACACCGATGACCGGGTTTAACCGAACACTTCTTAGCGTCATGAATCATGAGAGAGGGTCGGTAGTAGTAGTTCGATCGTTCCATTATTGCCATGGTTGGTCCCTGCGACAGGACGCAAAAAGACTGTTGACTCCACCTGCGGGCTTTTTCTAAGGTACTTTGGTAGACAGGGAGCCTTTCGCTGGTCGAGGATAACTAAATGTAATTAGTATCGGGGGGGAAGTTAAGATTAGTGTGCGGCGGAGACGGACCGATTGGGAAGTAACCCCTGACGGGGCGAGACTTAGCAGCACTGTTAGCAACTTAGCAAACCTTGCCGGCGCCCGACAGTGCTCCGATCCTATAGTAAGTAGTCACTGAGTACGGAGACTAGACTATACTAAGTCTTCTCTACCACAGAGTTAAGGGTTCCGGATTTGTTACCCGCTTCTACTCCCAATTTGTGAGCAAATCAGGCACCGAGTCCCTGACGGCACTTGCGACGATGGGAGTCTCAGTCGGTTCCCTCCATCGTCATCGTTGGCGCCCGGCATAATTGTTGCTTATTATTCCTTTTACTACTAACTAACTAACTCAGCCTCCTTTCAATGCGACCCATTCCATTTTCTAGTTTGGTTGCCTCGGGCTGCCCTTGAGCCTCAAGTTCCAGCATCACACACAGTCTCATTTGTAAGCGGCATGACGCGCAGCCACGTGATCTCCTCCCCGCCTGATTCGGAGTCTCGGTTCCTCCTCCTCTCTCTCTCTCTGTATCTCTCTCTGTGATCGACACTGCTTCTCAAATCACCCCATTAGACATGGCTCAAAACAAGAAGGGAGTGATGAAAGAAAAAAGAATCGACAGAAGACAATTGGTCCTCTAAGAAGAAGAAAACTACAAAATAAAAAAAAACCAAGCAAACACAATTCCGAGGCTCCATAAACGCTCATCACCGGTGAAGTACAGGGCTCCGATTCCACCCGTCATTGGAGCCCCTCTTCTCCATCGACGGCGGAGTTTGGCCAAACTTAAGGTACCAGACTACTTCGTCCACTACTTTTGTCCCAGCCAACCTAAGCCCGGCGTCCAGACCTCCACCGGGCGGGGATATCCTGACCTGACCGGTGGTCGATATTGCATTAGGTCACTCTGGGGTCGCTTCTTTGGGCTCACTGCTCATAATCTTAAAACTCAAATGTTGAACGGTCCTGCGCAAACCTGCGAAATCTAGTCTTTTTCGTCTTCCAATCTAACCCTTCTAGACTAACCCGCCGTCCCTTAATAATCTTCGAGCCTCGTTCGGGCGATCATCCTTCCAATTTCCCCCACAACAACTGGACCGTTCGTCCGATTGTACGGTCTTCGTGCACTGGACTAGCACTCTCTACTCTACTTCACCCCCCTGGTGCCCCCCTCCTCTCCGAGGTGCTGTTGTTCGCTAGTACCCGGGACTATCGGCATACCTTAACTACTACTAGTCATTCCTACTGCGTCTTCTCCAGGTTTTACTCGTTATCATCCCGCTATCCGTCTCCGACCCGCACGCGACAGTGCTGCTCTGTCCAGCATCTTGTGGTGTAGTATGCGCGGACGTCCTGGTCCTGGTCCGCAACAACAACCCTATGTACTAGGCTTCTGAATGCGATTTACAAGAGCATGGGAATATCCGCTGTGTCCTTTACATGCTCATGGACCAACGAACCAGACTGCGTAAGGCTTGTGACGCCTGTAGTATTCGAAAAGTGAAGGTATACTACACGCAGCTGTCACTGTTCATGAAGAAAGTGCAGTGTTGGCTAACTCTGCTCAGTGCGACACCAGCGGACCACCCTGTCGGTCATGCGCAAGCTTGGATATCCCTTGCACTTATGAACGACCGAGTCGACGTCGCGGTCCCCCTAACCGCCATGCAGAAGCATTCAAAAAGCAAAAACTAGCAGAGTCCCCTGCAGGCTCCCCAAGTCCATCAGACCATGCCACCCCGGGTCCTCCCGGGTCAGTGGGGAGCACCACCATCCCCTCGTCCACCCCAGCACCTTTATCGGCGGAGTCCATTTGTTCTATGCCGACCCTGTGGCTATTGATAGACGATTTTTTCACCTACATCCATCCCTTAGTTCCTGTCCCCCATGAGCCCACGTTCCGCGCCGCATTGGAGCGGCGAGATGACCTTACTAACCCTACCTTTTTGGCCCTCACGGCCGCCATGGTCGGGACACTGGTGGCGTCCTTTCCGCGAAGGCCCAAGCGGCATCTGAAGACGGAGGCGGAGAAGGCAGCATTTCCACACTCAATGGCATTGGTCAGGCGATGCCATGATGTTGCAGTCCAAGCTAGAGGCTACGGCTATCTGGATCGAAGCGCGACAGTGTATGATGCCGCAACTAGCTATTTCCTTGGGCTTTGCGCAGGATATGTCTGGCACATGCGCCGCTGTCGCGCATATTTCGCGGAATGCCTTACTATGATTCATGTGTATGACCTTTCTCGGCAGTCGAATCACTTTCGGGCAATGACTCCGCCAAGCCCTTCTTCCTCGTCGCGTTATTCGCAAGATCCTTTTGGCGGCGCGACCGCCGATCTTCACGTCGACATCATCGAGCAGGAGCTCGGACGACGCTTATTTTACACCACCATCGCCGGCTACCGGACGCTACAACAGCTTGGCTCCGGTGACGTGACTATCCATGTGCCTCCTGAAACTCCGACTTCGCGCTACCCTCCCTTGCCCCTCGAAGTGGATGATGAGTATATCTTCTCCACACATGTTGAACCACAACCGTCTGATCGGATTTCTCTTCTTGTGGGCTTCAACGCCAACGTCCGGGTGTTCAGTTCGTATAATACTCTCTCCGCCTGGGAGACTGCGTTTGGGAGCGGCCAGGTCTTTGATTGGGAACGGCAGCGCTCTCTTATGTGGGAATGTCTGCAAAAGGCTAAGTCTGGCTTATCTAATGTTCCAAGGGAATTGGCTATCCAGCTATCTCAAGATCCCGAAATGGGCAACGGGCATGGCCAATACGAGACTACACCTCCTGTGGAGGATCCGCGGGCTCGTAAGCGCCATATGCAACTTCAGATTCAAAAGGCGAACATCTACGCGAGCCAGTTGGGCACCCGATCATACTTGGTAGAGAAATATTGGACCTTGTACGGAGCGTGGAAAATGCAGCGAAAACAGTCCGACCAGCAAATTCCCGTCAGCCCCAGAACTACGATCAAGGTTGAAGGTGAGCCGCCGCAAAGTTTAGACACATACGATGCGGAAGCCCAATCCGATTATATTGGGAGGATGATGGCAGAAGAGCGTCGGGTGGTGATCCGGGACCTATTCATCTTGTTGCAATCGGTCAACGAGAGTAGTATGGAACCCAACGGCGGCAGTTTCGTATGCACCCTGTGTTTCCTTCAACTTGAACCGGGAGAACTGACCCCTTCATAGACCGCTAAAATCCGCCAAATCGCCTCCACATTACTCAACTTCCCGCATCATAGCATGATCACGCCCTCCACTTCTGGTCCCCAACCTTTAACATCCGCAGAAGCCGAAGCTTACCTTCGCGCATTCATTGATACTCTTGTACGCCTAGAAGGGTTCAAATCCAGATCTAGCCAGGACAAAAGCGGTTCCAGTCCCGAGGTACACCGACAATCCATCAGCTATTTGAGCGATCACAACCGCGACGAAGAAGAGCTGCGCCAATGGGCCAGTCTGAAAGAATACCAGGCCAAGTTTGCCGAAGCAGGGGGCATGTTATCCGAACTGTAATGGACACGAAGGCATTTTTGAAGCTGACTTATTTTCGCATCATTTATAGCTGGAGTTTCTGGAATGGGATATCGATTGCTTTATTCGTTTGGGAGGCGGGATACTGATTGTTAGCAACGCTGGGGTGGCGACGGAGTTCAGTGTGTGTACTATTCGGGTCGGGAGTATGATTGAACGGCCTTGGTGTCTATATATTTGTGTGTTTTATTATAGAGTGTTTCATTGACTGTTTGACTGTTATCTTTTGTGATGATACCTGTATCTAGGTTATTTCATGGGTGGATGGTTGATATGATTTGATATATTGGAAGTATCTCAAATGAGATGGATGACAAATCCCAATGTGTAATTTATCAGAGTAGCTGATGAATACTACTACAAAATCAACACATAAGTCAAACAATCACTCAAACCTGGAATTATATGTCTTCATTATTACTTATATCTATCACCACTTCTAACCAGTCAATACACATAACAACAGAATCAACTTAAGTAGTCACACTCTCCGTCTCCGTAACCCTCTCCGTAACAGTCTCCGTCTTCGTCACCATCTCCTTCTCCTTCTCCGTCACAGTCACAGTCTCCCTCTCCCTCTCCGTCACCGTAACAGTCACAGTAACAGGACCCGTAAGCGTCACAGGCACAATCCGAAGAACATCACCTGACTCACTAGACAGGGAAGAAGTTACCGTAGGTATGGACGTGGACACATCATCCTCTTCGCTAGATTGCGTTGACGTTTGTTCTGCATCTAACGGAGTCGTCGCCGTCGTCGACATTTTCTCTTCCCCAGATGTTGTTGTTGTTATGGCTGTGGTAGGGACAGTTTCCGAGGTTGGGGTTGGGGTTGGTTTATCAACGACAGTAACGATAGCAGTAGCAATGGTGGTGGAATCATAGGTTTGTTCTGGGGTGGGTGTATCTGTGATTACTACGTAGATGGTTTGCATAGTTGTTGATGAAAAGTGGAGGGTCGTTGGGGGTTCTTTTGTTGTGGTTGGGTTGATTGTTGTGAGGGATGATGTGGATGTAGATGTGGATGTGGTATCTGGGTTAGAAGGTATGAAGGAGGATGTCCCGATGACTGTTGTTGATCCTTCGGGTGTGACTAGTACGACGACTGGGGTTGGGGCGGATGTTGTGGTGGCGTCTTCTGTTTCTGGTGTGGGAGTGGTTGTGGTCGTTGTGTCCACTGGGTCTGCTGGCTGGGTGGTCTTTGTTGTGGTTGTGCTTGTCGTGGGTATGGTCACCCCGATGAAGGGTTTGGCTGTGTGGGGGGTTGGTGTGGTTGTCTGGCTTTCAGTGGGTGTTGATGAGGTGTCCTCGGCTGTAGTCGTTGTGCTCTCGCTGGAGGGTGACATTTCAGGCATTGAGGGAGAGCTAGCACTGGCTTCTGGGAGAGGCGTGATGACGCCAATCGTGAAGCTGGTGGACGTTGATGTCTCGGAGGTGTGGGATGATGTAGTGCTCTCTGGAGCAGCGCTTGATGATGCGGGTGCAATAGTGGAGGAATGTAGTAGTTTACTAGATGAAGTGATTGTTCCCTGGTGTGATGGAGATGCTTTTGACATCTCTGCTGCTGTTCTGGATGAGTGTGATACTCTGATAGCAGAGGATGACGTCTCGTGTGTGATGTGAGAAGAGGTTGTTGGCATAGGTGCGTGAGATGACGAGCCTTCCATTGGACCTCCTGGCATGTTAATTGAGGGTGTTACAATATGGGAGCTCTCAGAAAGCGTGCTCGATGGTGTTGTGGTATGCACCACCTGCGACGAAGAACTTGTCGTAGGAGAGCTTGGAACTGCACTCGAGGGAGGCGAGTAGGGTACTGAAGATGAAGGTGTAGTTGTGGTTGTGGTTGTAGTCGTTGATGTCAGCGACAAGGTAGTCACGATGCTGTCTGACGAGACACTTCTAGATAACGAGTGCGTAGCTGCAGAGGAAGACTCGAACATAGAGGTAGTTGAGTCGACATGAGTAGTAGTAGTCGGAGATACTTGAACGAACGCAGCTGAACTCGATGGCACCGGCTCAGCGGTAGTGCTAGAGCTGGATGCAGTCTGAGGCAGACTGGAGGGAGTGACCGGAACTACAGTCAAAGCGTTGATCTCATCGTCATCATCGTCATCGACCGAAGGACTGGCAACGTGCACATAAGGTGTAGTGAGCGAAGGAGATGGAGAGAGCGACTCCATGTCTCTCTTGGAAGCAAAAGGAGCAATCGGACCAGCCGCGCAGCAAAAGACCAGGAAGAAGGTCACGAGGATAACTGGTATGAGCGACATTATCTCGTCTGCTGCTGGAATTATGCAGTCGAAATAGTACCAATATTATGTATGTATGTCAAGGAGATGTAAAGGGGACAAATAAACGAGCTGTCAAAGAGAGTATGCAAAGATAAATAGCTGACCACGCTGCATTAACATGTATTGGCAAGTTCAGAAGCGACAGAAATTCATCTTTGACTCGAATTAATATCTAGAAACAACGAAAGAGTGTCGAAGTGAGGGAAAGTAAAGAAGGACAATCAGGAATATGGATGATGCAGAGCGAATGAGGGTTAGACAAGAGAAAGACCGTGTTTAAGAAAGCCAAGCGATGAAAGCGCCCACCCGTCATCTCTTTATTTAGCTGATGCCACGGCCTGGACCGACATCAATTGCAGCTTGACATGAAACATTCCGACGGTCCAACTTGCTGTTGTGGGACTCGAAGCTGGGATCGGTTGGCTGGCGAGAGTCGAGTTGGCGCGCGACAAAGAAGTGCCGGCTGGGATGTTGCAGCACCCGCCCCGGTTGGCCAACATTTCCCATTCATTGGCAACCGTGTCAAGTCTTGCAGAACAGTGGATCATAGCAATCTTTCTACTGAGCTCTGATGAATGGATCTCGCCATGTCCGAGCATACGCCTCACAAGCTAAGCCACCATCCTTGAGCCAGCCAGGCATGGCTAGATTGGCTGAGATGCAGCCAACCACCAAGCAGCAAGAGAATGAAATATCCAATTGCGAAAAAATCAATAATATTGACTTGGCTATAGTCCAAAGCTACTGTTAGATCATTCCTACTTTCATATACGTCCTGATCCTGTCTCATAAGCCTCACTCCTTGCCGCTTGAACCAGCCTCCTTCAACATAGTAGAGGCCAGCTCAGCTGACTGCAACCGTAAACGCTTCGCTAATCCCCTCAAAGGAGGATATCTTTCCTTGCACACTTCTTGAGTCGCCGTAATAGTGGAGACGATATGTTCCACTCTGAATGGGATTAGGATTCCCCGTGTCGTAGTACTCGTCCTCGATCTGCCATTGGAGAGTGACCTCGCTATACCCCAAAATCGTACTCGTCCTTTCCCAGTTATACAGAAGGTTCCAGTCGCTGTCAGTATGCACAACATCCCATGACCCGGTAGCTGAGTTGTACCTCTCCACAGCCGCGAAGGTCGACTCTTGTCGTAGGTTATTGCGAGGGTTTGCCCCCACAAATGTGACATTTACCATGTCTCCAGGCCCGTAAGTGACATTTGCCGACGAGGATACAATATCCCCAAATGCTTTGCTAATTGGCGATCCGTCATATATAACTGAGGGAATAAAGCTTAGTGAGTTGTTGGTATTGACGGGAGGTATCTTCCCGGAGGATAGCGACGGTAGACTGCCCGTCTGCGCTGACTTGCCCAGGTACGGCAGATACGTAAGGGTTAGGTTGATGTATGCTGCAAGTGTATTGGGGCCGTACAGAGTCGAGGCCCCTTCATAGCGCTGCACTCCGTATTCCTCCTCCGTGGCGACGTAATGAGCATAGCTATTGGACGGCGCACCTAGGACTACCAGAGGGTCTGCCACTCCAAGAACCTCTTTTGCAGAGTTGCCAATCGCTTCTTTCCAGCGTCTCCCAGACATGGTGGTGGCTTCGCTTGTCGAGATGACAATGAATAGTTGACCCACTCTCAGGACCTGAATGTCCACAATATTAGGTGTCCAGGCGTACGGCTGTGTGATTGGTCCCACATCGAGAAGAACCTGCTTCGGCGCTTGACACGCCTGCTGCTCTTTCGACGGCTGGTGCAAGAAAGCACGAGCAACATACCATAGAGGGTTGGAATCGGCTGGTCCCGTGCCATTCTGGGTAAAGTCGAATAATCCTGGCCCGTCCGTGGTGCCGGCTGCAAACGAGAATCCCAATGCGGCAGGACACGTCTTTAGAGTACTACCATTAAACGGCGACGTAAAAGTGTAGTTGGACAGGTCCTGGTAAGTGTGGAATGAGCGGACATCGGCGCCTGAAAGAATTCGAACAGGATTTGAATCCAAATTGGCGTAAAGTTCTTTCGCAGCCGCGTATTGTCGCCGTCCAATCTCGAAGCAGCTCTTTGCGCCGTTATCCTTCTCGCGGAAATAAGGTCCACGGCCGTGGCAATCCTCCGTCTTCCCGCCACATGTGCTATCTTCGTATCGGCATTGTTGTTCAGAGCCATCCTCACACCAAGCTCCTAACACATTCGGGCTTGTATCGCCGACATTTGACTGAGAAAAGCCTGCGACAAAGTCATCGGAGAATTTTTGGTCGCCTTTGACACTGCGCTCAAAAAGCCACGCGGCCACACCCTTGTTGTCCCCGGTGATCAGGGTATTATTATTGTACAAAGATGTACCATGTACGGGAAAGAAGGTCAGTATGGCAGTGGTCTTGTTGTCGGATTCCCGATCAAACCTCAACAAAGTCAGCGTCTTGTCCACATTCGCCGAGTACCGAGCTTTCTCTTCTGCAGGATTGGCGTCATAAGCGTAAGGGCTTCTATTGGTATTGGCGTCTTCTAGGTCTATGGACCCAAAGCTGAGACGTCCGGGTGCTAAACCTTCGTGGGCTCGCTTGATTGAAAGGAGGACACCGTCAACAATCGCTTGATAGCTCTGTTTATCAAAACCCTTGGTGGGGATTTGAGGAAGAAGGTAATTCATCCAGGCACCGGGGCCTGAATGAGAGTGTGTCCCAGTAAGTGCGACGTTCTGCTCGGTGTATCGAGCATAGTCGCTGCCCAGGCTAGCAAGGCCATCAAGTACACCATGGCGCACGGCAGTGTCCCCGGTCAGAGCATCCAGGATAAGGTAGATGAAAGTGTCATCTGGGTTGTTATTATTGGCCACAATGAAAGCCCGAGAGTAGATTCTCTGCCGAAGACCAGTCCCAATCTGGTCCAAGCTAGCATATCCATTCATCCCTAACTCAACAACAGGCCTAGCAGACAATGTATCAGCATCCATGCAGCACTGGTAGGATAAAGGTAGTTTACCCCGTTATATCCGCCTTTCCTGCGCCTAGCAGGAAAATATCATCGTTGTTCGCCTCGGTTGCAGCAGCTCTGTGCGCCCACTTAGACTGTGTACCGACAATGAGTGGCTGGCTCTGGTGCTGAAACAGTGAGAACAGTTGCAGCAACACAAGTGCCGTTGCCACGCTGCTGGCCAAAGCCACACCCAGCCTGAAGTTCGCCATTCCACCAAGATAAGGCGTGAGCTCTAGGATCGTTGCAGTGCCAGAGAGCCTTCAGCCTGACCACGGGGATGCGCACTTCTTATTGCAAGCAGGGACCGACCGAGGCAAGAGCTATCACAAGGCATGCCCGGCTAATTTGCAACGACGGCTCCGGGGATGACACTGCAGGGTCTCTGCAACCTTGCGGGGAGGATGCGGAAGAGGCGCGATTGGTGAAAAGGCTATTGGAATGTAGGAGAAAGGGTCTGGTCCGTTCCCGTCGTCATCCGTGGCTAAGCTTGATCAGGAATGTTCTATCCAGCCCCGCGTCGACTAACTGCAAGAATATAAGTTTAGATTCGGCTCTGAAGATGGATGACATGCGGTTGGCTGGTTGAGTCATCATCATTGCAACTCTGTCAAGGTCATAGGCGGGGAACTGGCCAGTCAGGGACCAGCCCTGCCCTGTCACAAGGGACCCTGTAGATCGCATGAACCTCGTCTGATAGAGAAGCCTAGGCTAAGCCTCCAGAGAAGTGGAGAAGAGGCCCGCCTTGCCTAAAGATCCGGGAAAGTGATGATCATGTGGAGAATGAAGGAGGAAAGGAGACGTCCGTGTCGCAGCTGGACGAGATTCATCTATACTTGGGTTGCCCGAAACGGTTTAGCTTAAAACACCCCGGATCAGCTCCGGCAGAATAGGCTGAGTCATCCAGTGATACTCACCGCCCTCCTGTGCTCGGCGCAAAAGCTGAGACGCCCATGACGAGCTGCTGCTGCTGGCACTGTTCGATCTTATACAACATATCACTTCGCATTGGCCCCTGCCTCTTCTAGCTCCTCGTTATCTAGGTCTAATACGCAGGCTCAAGTCAACATGCCTCTCATCAACGAATCCCACGACTCACTTCCTTGTAAGTTGCCTTACCTCTGCTATGAGTTCCCTTCTAACGCGTGGACCGTCATTAGACATCGAACCGGCCCCTTCCACCCAGGCACGAGCAGCTGCAGAGAAGCTAATTGCCGCGGAACTTTCGTTGGATGCCAAAACCACTATTCACCCATCCATTCCTGCTTTTCCTGAGTCGCGGTTTTCTCCTCTCATCCAGCAAGAGGTGGACCGCAAAGCTGCTGGATTGCCCTTGACCGGCGGAATCGACCTCTCCCGCTATGAAGCGCCTGAGGCTCCTGCTAAAGCCGCTGACGGAACTCCCGACCTCGAGGAATGGCAACGGACACTGCAAAGGGCTTACACGGCTAGCTCCCATTTGTCAATGCGGCACGAGAATCTGGCACTGCTAGAAGAGAATGGAAAGAACGCGTGGCTGATTGGCAATTCGCAGCTGGAAGACATCCTACGGGGGCTTGAGAAGGAATTGGCTGAGATGAAGGAGGCCGCCGAGGCAGTGAACAAGGAGAGAAAGCTCGCCCAGGAAGCCAACAAGGGAGAGATTGTGGGGCTGGAGGAGACATGGAAGCGTGGTGTTGGTGCCATCCTCGACACGGAATTGGCTGCAGAAGGCCTGCGCTTGCAGATCTTGGAGCAAAGACGTCAACTGGCGCAGCAGCATGCGCAGCAGTAATGGGGGTTTTCCGTCGACCTACATTTCTCAGGACGGAGACTCGCTCGACCAGGGTGTAGGCAGTCGCACTGTTGGCCGGGTGAAAGGAGGGCATTGCTTGGTAGAGAAGCCACTTTGGTAATGGGCCAGTTACCCAGCTGCCTGGGGCGTAAAATGCAGCTTCTGCGGTTGTCATTGGGCCTGACCCAAAATTGAACACGACAAAGACGACGCTGTATTCGGCCCATAT